GATTACTTTAAAGGTATGTATGTTTAAACTCAATTAATCTCAAGCATTATAATCTAAAATAAAAACAATTCAGCGAGTAACGTAGCTCATAGTATCACAAATTTATTTAAACTATTCCCTTTAATTCATAATCCTTAAATATTACATATTTGAATAGGATAAAAAGTCTCATTTTTATTATCAACCATTAATACTCATCTATTATTTACCTATTTTCTTCATTTAGTATTCCTACTATATAGTAAAATTGTAAAAGAAAATGAAATTATAAGATGGCAATCAAACAGGAACTAGATTATACAATAATATGAACAATTGATGCGTTCTACCTATTATCCTTATTCTCAATTAAAAATATAATGGGTGATCATAATATAATAGTATCTTTGGGAGATGAATATCTTTATTATAATATATAGAATATGAGTTAGGTTATTTTAAAGTCTATTACAAACATAAAATCTTATCAATACTTCTATTCTTGTATTTCTGTTATTTCATTGATAACCTTACATTTATTGCCTATTTTAATAGAAATGAAATTTGGAGAAGTAGATAACAGTATCCTACTGTCAATAGTTAGTTTTTATATATTTTATTCATAAAATTCCCTAGTCGATTTCTTCTGGCTTCTTCTATATAACTTTAATTTAATAGAAATAGGATCAGAATGAAATTACAATATAGAACAGACTTCAATGTCTTAACTTCATACAAATATCTATTTACATCATTCTAATCTAGAAGTATAACTATTATCTACAGAATATTCTACAATCATTATACTCTTCACAGTAATTACATTTCTTACTACCTTCCATACAAAATATTTATTTGTTACATAGATAGAACAGAAAGTTTTCTTAATCACTAGGACAAGACTTAGTGTAAATATAACAGATAACATTCATTATTCATCTTCTATTTATAACCCTTATTAACTTATTAACATTATAAATAGAACAGTGAGCATCATTGTTCTATATTTTTTTTCATCTTCTCTTTTACTCTTCCTCATAAGTCTATTTTTTAATATGAATTTCATTGAGCAGTATTATAAGATAATCGACATTCTTATATCTCTTACATGTAAAAGAGGTCTACTATCCTATTAAAAGTGTTCATATTATTTATGTCAGATAACTTGATGCAATGCAATTAAATCATGTACTTTATTGTAGCAAAATTAAATTAGGTT